CGCGCTGGCCGTGCCTGAGGAAGCGCAGCCGCCTGGCTGCGGAGTCTCGCTCCGAGGGGCGCCGAAGAACCGCGGGCAGTGAAATCTTCCCGTCAAAGAGCAAAAGCAAGTCTGTCTACACAACAGGAACAATTACTTTCTTTTTTCCTTTTGTGAGACACAGTGATGCCTACTAATAAAAAATCCCGTTCTTACTGTCATCATAAAAAAGAACCCATCTAATAATCACACAACTGCAGTTTTAGTTTTTGGGTTTTTTTTCCCCCACCATTTTTTTGCACACTGTTCTGCAGTGACTTGAGTTTGCAGTGGAATAAAGGTGAAATTTCTTCTTGGCAAGGTACTGTGATGAAACAGAATTTTTGACACATGCCCACAAAAAAAGTAACACCCCCCCAGTGAACAGCAGGAAGAAAACAGATTATTTTGCATCTTGTCTTTAATCAACAGAAGTTTGAATGTCAAATGCTGTTTGTGAGCATCTGAATGCTAATGTTTCTATTATTTAGATAGTGGAAGAAAAGTGTATTAAATACTAGACTCTTTAAACAGGCACATTAAATGCAAAATATGCATTAGCACAAATTTATGTGCCCGCTGAAAATTTCACTCCAGAAAACGCAAAGTGTAAGCCTACATTAGCAGTATTAATTCTGATTGTCTCTAATTTTATTCAATTTAAATATTATCAGTTGTGATTTTAATCCTTGTATTTTGCTAGGCCTAAAGTTTTAACCTGGACTTCCCTGACTTTTCCTAATGTGTGGCTTTATATGATGTATGTTTTCCTCTTTAGCTGGAAGGATAATGAAGCTTATACACTGGAGTTTAAGTCATCTTTGTATTAAAAAATGTAAATACAGTTTAAAGATCACTTAGCTAGTAAGCAAAGGTGTACACAACTTGGTTATCTATGTGAAAGAGCTGGTTAAAGTTGAATAATTTAGCTACTCTTAGAAGTAGCTATTACTTATGTTGCAACGTCCAGTAATTCTCCCAGCATTGACTGGTGTCAGTTCACTTGCTAATTCACACTAAATTTGAAGATCAGTGGGGGCACGCCTGCTGCTGGCATTACTTGACAATGACATTCGCCTAGACAGAGGGACAGGCTGAGGACTATCACAGTTTCTGCTTTGTTTAGATTCTGAGCTCGCCTCCCCTATGGAGTCAGGAGTGTTTGGTCGGCTCAGGTTTTTTGGGTCAATTTTGGAAGTAGCGTGGCCTTTGCTTGCACTGAAACTGCTGAGTCTTCTGTTGCTGCTCTTTTGGAGAGAACGTGTTGAAGACCCTGCGCTCTCAGCCACTGCCGCGCAGTTCCGTGAGGTGCCGATTCCACGCTGTCTTTTTAAACTGTTAACAGGAAAGGTATCACATGAGGTTCGAGATGGCATTTCAGCAAAGCTTCTCAAGCACATGCTTGAGGCTGTATCTGCACTCTCAGTATAAACAAGGAAATGTTTCTTTTCAGCTTCTTTCTGAGAATCATTTGCTTCAGTAACTAGCTCCCTAATTAAGCCTTCATTACTATTTGTGCTAGTATTTTGAATCTGATTGTCTAAAGCATTTGTAGATGGCCCCTGCTCTGGCAGATTACTTTCCTGATTGTGATGGGTGCAATTGTTGCTACTTCCTGTTCGGTTATTTTGAATAGACTGAAACACAGAAGGAGTACTCAGAACCGGGTAGACAGCGGTGTCAGTTTGCTTTTCCATTAAAAAGGAATAACCACTAAGTGCAGAAGGAAGAGTTTTTTGTGGAGTTGCAGATATTCCCAAAGAAGAGTGTGGTATTGCAGAGTATTTCTTAGATTTATTTACGTAGAAATCTTCAAGGTCATCCTTGTTTTTATCCCGTCCACAGAGTCCCATTTTAATTTTTCTGAATCCTAGGTGAATAATTTCAAAGATGTTTAAAAGCAACGATACAGTCGCTATTGATTGCATAAATAATATGAACACTGTCTTTTCTGTTGGTCTTGATACAAAGCAGTCAACTATGTTTGGACATGGATCTCTCTGACATTTATAAAGGGGATCTAGCTGAAAACCGTACAGAAGATATTGCCCAATCATAAAACCAACTTCCACTGCAGATCTAGTAACAATATGTATCACATAAGTGCAGAGCAAAGAGCCTCTCAGGGGTGCTTTGTTTAGCTTTCTTTGATCCAACTGCCGGAGTTCTCTCTCCAGCCTTTTTCGATTTTCAGTCATTTCTAATTCAGTGCTTTCAAGTTCCACTCTGACTTGAGCTTTCTTTTTTTGCCTCTCTTTTTCTAAGGTTCTTAGTCTGTATAAGGCATGACCCATATACACCAAGGAAGGGGAAGACACAAATATAACTTGCAAGACCCAATATCTTATGAGAGAGATAGGAAAGGCCTCATCATAGCACACATTTCTGCAACCAGGTTGCTCGGTATTGCATATAAATTCTGATTGTTCATCATTCCAAACATCCTCAGTTGCCACCCCAAGGACAAGCATTCGAAATATGAAGAGGATAGTTAGCCAAATCTTTCCAATAATAGTAGAATGAATGTGGACCTCCTCTAAAATGCCTCCAAGGAAATTCCAGTCTCCCATGGTTATTCTGCCATCTTAACACTAAAATGTATGAGAGAAAAAAAACATCAAATATTGTAAAAGCTGCAGTCCTTCCTTAATGTATTACCAAGAAAACTGAACTGGAAGAACCATCATATCTCACATTGTAACCACTGCAGCATAATCCACTACCCATAGGTAATCTCGGCATTAGTGTATCTCACCTACAACACAGAGAAGTGCATCATCCACCCATGTCTAACGTATCAGTAACATCACGATAAGGACATAAGTAGGAGGTTTTAGGCATACTCAATCTGCATCAAAACCAGTGAAAACTGAGGTGCTTGACTTCTAGCAGGACTGAGTTCTTAGCTAAGTCTACTTAAATATACCTTTTTCAGAGAGTTCATATATAAACACACCAAAATCTCTCATGCAGTCTACATAAATTGTAAGCTGAAAGTTATTTTTAAAGTCTCTTAAATATTATCATACTCACCAAACGTTCATAAAAGTCATGGAGAAAGGTGACAATACGGCAAAAATAAAGTATTAGCCTTTATGAAGGAAGATTGTAGCAACTAGTTACAGTTCCTGCTGGTAGTTAAGGTGTTTCCCTTTCAGAGGCAGCCACCAGAGCAAGCTGCTCTGTGACACTCACAGGAGAGCATTTCAAGAGCATTATGTGATCTGTTTGAATCATTATCCAATAGATAGCGGTGTGAGAGCAGCATCTTTGTTTAGGACAGTTCCCAAGTTACTGAGGTTTTACTTCCCTGTAAACAAACAGAGAAATATTTCCTGGTCTCCATTTTCAGATGTTCTGAGCTCCACGTTGCAGCTGAAGTCTGTGGTAAGGTCCAGTTTTGCAATGAAAAATTGCAAGATCATTATATAAATGATCTTGTGAGGGAATAAAGCATCTAACTAAAAATGCAGTGTTAGAATTAAAAAATAAATTTTTAAGCATAGATTTTGGAGCTAATTTCTTTTTGTTTGCGGATAACAGCAACAAATAAATAAATAAAATCACTGTAATATTAGTCCAATTTCCTCTGATCAATAATATCTGAATCTGAAATACAGAATACAGTGCATAGGTGTCAATTATTGCTATCTTTGGCTATGATTCTATTACAAATAAAAGATTTTTCCAAAAATCATATACCAGTATTTTCACTAACGATCATCACTTCAGTACAAAGATGCAGGTAATATTTTTGTGTAATCATACTTCTTGCATTTATTTCATATTTTTGTTCTGATCTCTGTTACAAGAGACAAGATTTTAAATTCTGTTTCAAGGTTTATGTTATTATATACACTTATATAAACATTTTTCTTTTATATGTGCAGGGATAACTATTATGTTCATAGATTTAACTTTACATTGTATGTGCAGTACAATTTAATAGCATTCAGTATATTACGAACAGAATACATCTTCCTAGTAGAAAGGTGGCTTAAGACAGAGCTTAAGACACCGTTATTAAATTAAATGGAAGTTGAAATCATAGTGATGCAATATTGATGACTACAGAGGAAATCTTAAGTTAAAAGGGCCTATTAAACATGAAAATACACTTTCAAATTGGTATATAACTTTTTTTATAATATAATATAATAATATATAATTTTTTTAAAGATAACTAAATTAAAAATAAATGACACTTTAAAAAATAAAACATACCTTTCTTTACAAAGATCTGCAAAAGCAAAGCTCTGTGGCATCCAATGAAAAGTTATAACCCCTGCCATCTTCCAACTGCGTGAGCAAATTTCATATTTTAAAATAGTTTATTTCACTACGGGAGCAATTAAAGGAATGCAAGCTTTGCACATTGCACTTATATTTGCTATGGATGGAGGGAGGAGAAAATCAATTTGTTGTTCAGTCTGCTGTGGCTCCTAGCACAATTTAACTACAATCAAATTATTATTTCCAGTGAAAGAATCTTGTTAAAAAAAGCTAGAAATGAAAAAATACAGAGCTCTAACTTCCTTCAGAATGTTCTCCCTTAACCCTTTTCTTCCAAACTGTAAAAGCAATCTCAGCTTCAGACTGTTGTCAACCAACAGAAGATGGCTTATACTTACAATTGGGGAAGACATTTCTTATGAAAATTGTTGTCACCACAAATTGATTCAGAATATACACAGTAGCCAAACTCACTCGGTCAATGAATGGCACAACTACAGATACAGATTTCTGTGAGTGCATCTATCAAGGCATTGGCATTCTGCTTCACTCTTTTAATCAATGGTTTTAAAAGTACTAACTTTCAGACTATGTTTTAGTTTATTTACATATCTCCATAGCAAAGAACACCCAGCTTGCCTGTGCAAAAGTTAAGAAGATAAATCCTTACAAAGACTATGCAATTTACATTTTTGCTGAAAAACTGTTCCATTGGAACAGCTTCCGCTTCACGTCATACTTGTGATGTAAAAACTCAGCAATAGTGTTTTTGGTCCCTCCAGGCTTCCCCCCTCTCCATACACAGCATCTGTCCTTGTACTCTACAGTTCTTTATTCTCTTTATGCCATCTTTCTTGCCATACTTAAAATAGCCTTGAACATCACACCTGTTCTATTCTATTTTTCCAGTCCATTTAATTTAGTATTTGTTTTTAGGAGCAAGTCATTAGAAATGGAACCCAAGAAGTAGAAAAGTTGTGGCAGGAGTTTTAGAGACTGGAGGTACATCGTGACAGTAAATGGCGCCTTTAAAGAGTCTGCTTGGTAGCTGTGGACAGACTGCAGCTTGTAAGCTGAGCTGATGCAAAAATACATTTAAAATAGCTTAAAATTTAACCGAAATTTTCTTGAGCTGATCAGACCATTGCAATACATTTTGGGAGCGATGGCAGGCTGGGGAACGTGCTTTCAAATGTTTTGCAACTCGGCAAATGCTTGCAGAAACGTTGTGGTGAGGGGATGGAAACAGGCCTCCTTTTTGAAAAAGGAGGACAGGGAAGGAAACATGCTTGTTTTGTGTGCAAAGATGTTCCTGGAGCTAGTATCAGAACCATAAGGGCCAAGCCTAGTGATAACGTGTAACTACCACTGCTAGGATCAATAACAGATGAGAAGTATATCTACCACTATAATGCTCTTTTAGGTAATTCTCATCAGTGCACTGCAAACGCATATTACTGATACAAATAGCCTGTATAGGATAAATAAACTTCCTCTACTAAAAACTATAAACAGCAAATCAATATCTTTTAATTTTGGTGCCGAGGATCAGTCAATAGGTCGTGTCCGATTTCATAGTTAAATGAAAGCTAACCCAGAAGTAATCAAACATTTCTGCAAGCTATCAGTTAGTCTACAGATAGCCATTTCTAATAACTGCTTAAAGCAAGTTTTTAAACATATTTCTGCCAGAAGAATTTTACTATCGGTTAACAAAATTCTTAACCCATTGAAGTGGCTTCTCCCCACTCCCACGCCTGACATTGAAGCCATCTTTGTTTGAAAATCTTAAGTATTAGACAAGAGTGAACTATGGATTCTGAGGATCTACTTGTTTTGTAAAAGATTTGCGTTAAGAGGAACATTTAACAATCTGCACATAATATTCAAAAATGCATTATCTCATTTAAAACGCTTATTTCAGTCAAATGATATCTGGACAAGTCTGGAGGGAAGACTCACAAAATTAATTCAGGTGCCAGTGCCAATTTTATAGCAGTGATGCTACTCTTTTACTTTAGCCCAGACATTGTGTGAATATTTATGGAACTGTCATACCAACATTCAGTATTTATTAACAAAATACTTAGTGATGCAAGAACAAAACACTGTTTTCTTCCAGGTCTAGAAGCTACCTCGCTCTTTTGTTTGCTTGTTTTGGATATTACATATCCCCCAAACTTCATCTAACCGCTATATTGATTATGTTTTCTTAGCTCAAGGTCAAACACTATAAAAATCATTCCGTCATGGAAAAATTCTCTTAAGATCAAGAGCTTTTTGCTCCTACTCATCAATAATGTGCACTTTATATGTACAATTGATTTTTATTTTCTGCTGTATTTGTCTGACCCACAATGGCCATCTAGATAACTAGAGGCACAAACATCAGTTTGATATATCCTACTAGCTTTCAGGATAATGCAGACTCACTCCCATCATTTTCTTTCAATAGTGAAGTTAGGATCACAAATAATAAACTGCAATAATGAGAAATTTGGATGACTCACCAACTCAATATTGTCTTTATGAGTGCAAAATCTGGCAGTAGTGTTTGAAGGCAGATCACAGAATAACATTTAAAGGCAAAGGCACACATTCTTCACCTTTGACTGTTTTCCGTGCTAGTTTATAAAACCCCTTTTCATTTCTAAGCTGTACTTGCACATTGGTAGGGGCAGATTTGTGTTTTCACTTACAGAAGCATTATTCCAGGACTTATTTTTAATTTTACGTGGCACACATTTCCACTTAGACTTCCCTTAAGTCGACAACATTTGAAGTCCCATCCGTGCCACTACAAAACATCTAATCTGATGAGCCTCAGCACATTTAAAGAAAAGGTTGTTGCTTTTCCTTGAAAGACACAGCTGGACACCTCAATTAGCATGGGTTGTTTTTTGAGCAGGAGAGGATGGGAGATGATAGGGTATGGCGCTTTTGGAGAGACTGTGGAGGATGAGTTTGCGTGGAACTTGTGCTTGATGAGAAAAGAACACTCTGCTGCTTATGGGGCAGCCGATCGTCTCTGGGTGGTTTGTCCTGTTGCAGTCCACAGCTTGCAAAGTCAAGTGAGGAGCTGACCTTCCTGTTCTCTGCTTTCTACTCCCCAAGGATTGCCTGTCCAGCACTCTCAGGCTTGACATTAGTCTCTCCAGAGACAACAACATAAGTTTCTCAGAGTAAGCAAACTACATTGCAAAGCATAAGGAAAAGCAACTATTGAGAATTCTACACACAAGGGAAAGAAGCTCACCTTTTTCACCTTGTGCAACTTTTCAGGGGACAGCAAAACCATCTATCATCTCAGCTATTTTAGCACCTACTCTATCCTAAATATCAGAAGCAGCGGGGGAAAAAAACGCACCCAGTTTAACCTCAGGATCTTTTGTAGCATCTATACCTAGAAAAAAAAAACCACAATGCACAATTTACAGTCCAGTAAGAGGCCACGCAGGCCACGACCAGGGAACGGGCAAAGGGGAGCACCAAAGTAGAACAGAAGCAGCACAGAATATTGTAACTCAAGGGCTGAATCACAAGTTTCCTGAACTCCATCGTTCTGATTTTGACTATTAAAGTTCCGTGGATGACATGAATGGAGCACTAACAGCGCGGGGGGAAACACGGCCCAACCGCAAGGCTTTACACCCTGCCCCCACCAGGCGCCCTGCCACGGCGCCCCTACGGC